TTCCTCTATAATATCCTCCAGCTTCACAGGCACATGTTTGCACTTTTCTGTTGTTAAAATTGCAGACAAGAGTAATTTTGATTTATTGGTGACATCTAATATAGCTGTGTTTATATTGTTGCCAATAAAATGACTTACACGATTGGTTTTTGTTTATACAATCTTTTCTGAGGAGTCAGTCACCTGTGTTAGGACAAGGTACATTCTGCTTATTAAAATGAACTCCTGGGATCTAAGAACATTCAGCTCTATCTGTCCTTGATTGAATTGCAAAATGTGCTCTACACTGCAGCCGTGCATGAGAATAACTTATATTATCTATCAATAGGCTTTTCATTTCTATATTCTTCTGCCTACAAAGCTGTAACTAGAGAAACCCATGGGAATAGCATGTGCCTATTAGTGATCAAGGCAGTGATGTTGAAAAGGCAACGTTAATGAAATTATACAATCATTAACCCAAAGGGGAAAAATAAAAAGAATCAATAAAAGCTCTATTTTAGATGGTTTATATGTATATATAAGAAGTCAGCCCAGGGGCGATTTGTTTGCTGACCAGTGTTTTGTGTCTCATTATCAGTTTTTCTGTTCAGGGTAAGAAATGCTTGTGGCATAAAAGGAATGGAAAATGTAACAAAGGCTAAATGTAGCCTAAGGAAATGAAATGATGTATGAAAATTAATAATTAACTGGCTCATCAGATGAATTATGACTCTAGATGAGTCTATTAATAATATTAAGTAAGAAAGGGCTTTTGGATGTAAATAGACATTATGGAACTCATGTTTTTGGAATTTTCTTGAAGAGATGAGTTAACATTGCTTTCTTTAATCTTTTAACCTACAAGGCATAGCACCTCGAGTGTTGGGTAGAAGGTAGAAGTATGATCTTGTACTTTGATTAAAGTCATAGCTTTTCTAGAAATCTATTGAAATTATCATTAAATGATTTTGTGCCTTGGTTTCCTTAGGAGTTAAGTAATTTTCTCTCTGACCTGACTTACAACAGTGTGTTTTAAGAGTTTTAATGTGGTCGAAAGGAAAGATTTATTAACTTGTGTTGACTCATAGCAGAATGAGTAAACATTTTCATTGTTTTAACCAATGGAGTATTAAAAATCTACATGTGTTAATATGTCATATCCAAAGTACACCAAATTTATCCTTCTGGATGTTCCTTGCTTTTTCTGTTTCTACTTTTTTTTTTCTGATGATGCCTGGGTTAGTCATTGAATGGAGGACAGAAGAGAAAGTAATGCTGGAGAACGTAAATTTTTAAAAAGAAAAACGCTGTTCCAGTGGAATCCCACCAGTCAGGTTTTGATAGTGATTAGTTGTGATTTTACTTTCTGGCACAGTATAGGAAATTTTAACTCAGATGTTCATTTTTCAGGGTAAATGTTTTCTTTCAGCACACTGCTGATGTGAAAGCCTCCTATCAGCTTTTGTTTTGATGGAGTTGGTAGAGAGTGCTGTTCTTTTTTTGCTTTCATATCCACCCAGTCCCTTTGATTTAAGTGTTGCAGACATAAAATCTACATATTTGGGCTTCCCTGGTAACTCAGGGTAAAGAATTTGCTTGCCAATGCAGTGGACGTGGGTTTGAACCCTGGTCTGGGAAGATCCCACATGCCTCAGGGTAACTAAGCCTGTGGGCAACAACTACTGGCCCATGATCCAGAGCCTGAGAGCTGCAACTACTGAAGCCCATGAGACCTAGAGGCCCTGCTCTGCAGAGAAGCCACCACAATGAGAAGCCCCCACTCACCGCAACTAGAGAAAGCTCGAGCAATAACCAACACCCAGCACAGCCAAAAACAAACATGTTTTAAAAAACTACACATTTATCCTTCATTATAGTTAATGAGTACTTTCTATAACCTTCCTTTTCTTAATTAGCCGAAAAGACAAAATTTTGAGTGATTATCACCAAATTCTTCATCTTTTGTGGATAAAAAACTGTCCAGAGAAGTTATAAATGGTTTGCCACAAGTAAAACTCGGGTCTCCTAAATTCTCGTTGGGAACGCTGTTCACTCTGACTCAGTGAGGATGGGGCTTTCTTACAAGTTAGTTATTTATTCATTTTTTGTTACCAAGTAGGCTCAAAATTACACATGATCATATGACCTAGCCAAAAAGTACATAAAATACTATATAATGTGAAAAAACAAATTGATTTTTAAGTTCTGGTATCTAATGTTTGAAAAATCTGCTTGTATAATTAATGTGAAAGCTGGATTATTTGGCATATTTTTCACACAGTGTATTTTATTTTTGTCTTGAGGCTGGTTTTTCTCAGCTCACACAACATTGACTTATTGGTTTTTCTTTATGGTATTAATCACTTTACTTTCTGGCTGTTGCTTTTTTAGTAATAAAATTTAAGTACATTTTTTGTTGTTGTTTTTACTTTCACTCTAAAGCTATTTAAAACAGGAGTGTGATTTATAAAAAATAAAAATAAAATAAATATTCAAGCAAGTTTGAGTTCTTATAACTAAATTCTTAGTGCTTTAATTATTTTTCCTTTTACAAACTCACCTTCTTAATGATCTAGTACTTACTTACATGTTTTTATCCAGATTTTTGATGAGAATTCCTGCTTGTATATGATCTTACTGCCAGAACCAACTCCTTTATTTTTAAAAACCTGGAAATGGGCACAGTCTGCAAATCTGCAGACACTTGTCACTTGGACCATGGTCTTAGTGACTCATATTTCCAGTCATGTTGTATAATTCTTCATTTTCAACAAATTGCCAATACAATATATTTATTTTGCCTTTTTTTTTTTTGATTGGTGCTGAATAAGTGCTTTCTTGTGCAGGGTTCAAAGTGCTTCAGAAAACACGATTTTATCAATGAGTGGAGAATAGATGGCCAATATCATCTGGCAAAGCACAGAGACATTAAGTGACTCTTGCCCACAATCAACCAATGAATCAACAGACCGGTTGGTAATACACTTGAGTTCTTCTAAATGGGTGCAGCAGAAAAGGCATTGGGATTTTTCCAGCATTAAAAAAAAAAAATCTTACAATCAGTCTGATAAAGGGTTATTTCTTATTGTTTCATAAACAAGCTTAAATGATGCAGGTTTGAATAATCTGCATTGCATTTATTTATCTCTTCTTGGCTACTGTAGTGGAGGGAAAGATAGGAATGAGACCTAGGATTGTTTCTGAGGACTAGATGGCATGTCAGTATTAAATGTGGCAGACTGATAGAATTATTAGTAGAATGGAGACTTGATGAAGTTAAAGAAAGCATTCTAGATTTATATTGTTGGTAACCTTAGAAGTTCCTCAATACATGGACATATACAGTAAGCTTTGCAGAAGGCACAGTGAGTGCTTGGCTTGAAAATTAAATACTACAGATTTCCTCTGCTATCTGAAAGTAGAGTGGTCATAGGAAATCTTTCATCAGCTGAAATGGCATAAAGTTAAGAAGCAATTACCTTAGGATACATGTTGCTAAGGGATGTACAAAAAAATTGAGGAGCTTGATGGTGCCAATCTCACTGCTTGGGATGAGGACAGCCTCTGTAATAGCCCCCTGCAGAACAAATGCTGAATGATGTTTTTGTTTTTCATTTTTTTTTTCTCAAGAGTGAAAATCCCTCCTCAAATTTCTTTTGGTTACTAAAAACAGTTACTTAGATAAGTCTTCTGAAAGTGAAATGGCATAAAGTGAACTTTTGAAAAGCAAGGGATGCCTGTATTTCTGATTTTCTAAAATGATAAAGAAAAAAGAAAACCTCCTTATAAAAATTTACCATGGTTTGATATCCTGTGCTCGATGACTTATGGAACATTCTTTTGGGAGTTAAGTTGGAAATGTTCATCTAAGACATTGAGTAGATCATAGAAAAAAGGAGGACTCACACAGTTGAGGATATCTGGCCATTACTACTTTGCACCCAGTCTGTATTTCTTGTTTGTCCACCGTTGGCTTCTTTCCATGACTGTCATGTTTACTAAAAAGAATTAAAATTGTGACTGAGTCTGTCATTTATTTGTAGTAGTGGCACTTAGTCCTTAGTCATGGCATGACATACACTTTGGGGAACTATAGATCAAGGGAGGAAAAAGCCTTTCTTAATGATTTGTAACCAGGGAATACTGACACACAGATGGATGATGATGTCCTGTGGCCACATCATTACTTTTGGTTCTCCCTCTGCCACTTGAGAAAGGGGGTGGTAGGATGGCAGATGGAAGCTTCATGGAATTACTATCAGTTTACCGTGCGTGGTACATGGTGAACATACTCACCTTGAGAAGGGTTGTTTTGTCCTTATGCTCTCTGTAAAGCATTTCACACAGCCTTATCCTTTTCTAGGATCTTGCTGAAAGGTGAGAGTATTGTGATGTTGATTATATTTTCATCCCCATAACTCAGGATCAATATAGAACTAAGACTCTAATGCTGCTGTAAATATTTAGATATATGGATATAATGAAACCTTTATGAAATTCCCATGCCTATTTTTAAAACTCTTTTGTTAATCTAGGGACCATGAAAAAATTGCCTGTGAATGTCCTCACTGTCTCATTTTAGAGGTTATATCATCTTTCTGTTTGTTTACTGGAACCTTTGAGCAGTAGTCTAATAGCTCATGAAGGTGATGCATTTGGGTTTCCCAGGATGCACCGTAGCAAATGTGAACTATTACAGACAGATCCTCTATGGAGCAAAGTAAGTTTCATTTTGCAAGCTGGCACCAGTAGATTGGTTATAGTTGCCAAGAGCACTGTATTGAGAATGGTTCAGTGGCAAACAAAACGAAACAATGCAGTGATCCATAATCCATGTCTACCATGAATGCAGGAGGGGAGAGTGCCTGCCAATGAACCATGTATTCGATAAGCATGTTCTACATAAAAGACCGTTTTGCTGAGTGCTTCCTGATATGAATGCTACACAGGTTGAAAACTCATTGTTACTTATTTTCCTTTTGACTTTTAAAAATGCCTGCATTTATTTTTTTAAACAGGCTAATAAACCACACCATGGATAACTTATTGGACTTTGCCTGAAAGGAATCATTAGTGTCATTGGATATTTGACCAACCTGGCTACAGGTTTTTTCAGAATGAATGGAAGGTCATGCGGCATGAATCTCCACCGGACATCAGGAACCCCACAGGGGCCTGGGATGGTCAGTGGCCAACACATCCCTCCCATCCAAGCCCATTCGGGGACTCCTGGCCCCTCATCCTGTGGCAGCACAGCAAGCTCTGCCATTGGAAGCCTTGCTGACAGCCTCCATCTCAAGATGCCCTCAGGAGGAGGGATGGCTCCTCAGAGCAACATGAATGAGAGCCCCATCCATCTGCCTGCCTTGAGCCCCAGGAGACAAGTGCTCACCAGTGGGAAGCCACGTTTCCAGGTCACCCAGGCTGGAGGCGTGTCAGGGCCACACACATTAAAGCCAAAGCAGCAGGAGTTTGGAAGCCCCTTTCCTCCAAATTCTGGGAAAGGTAGGATTGTCTTTCTGGGATCTTTTAAAAGTGGACACTGTTGTTTTTCTCTTCCTCGTCTCTGCTCTGCAAGCAAATCCTATGGAAAAATACATGATTCAGTGTCAGGGTCAAAGTCTCATAATGATATGTAGCTTCCTAGGAAAGGATGTAGATGTGTACATTTGTGTGAGGACGAGGGCACCACAGTGGTAAATGTATTGTTTCATGGACTGTGAAACAGGGTTGAAGATGAGATTGGAAACAGGGAAGTAGCATAAGTGTCACAGAGGAAAACAAGAGCATGATTAGGAAGATCCTGCCCTCTGGATGCACAGAGCTCTATCTTGTCTTACCAGGATCTGGATTCTGCAGACCATGGAGGAGATGGGTGACTGCAGCTGTCTTTATGATGTTAGTTGGATGCTAGAATAAAGATGATGTTTGGAAGGAAAAGGATTTAAAGTGAGAAATTTTAATATCCAATAAAATGAGAAACAAGTACATAAAATGATAAAAAACTATTCTAAGAGCAAAACCTATAATCTTTATAACATAGCTAGTGACAATAGAGAAAGCAGCTAGAAGAATATAATGAAAAGATGTATTTTTGTGCTTGTGGAAAACTAGAAAAACTTGCCAATTTGAGAGAAATGAGGGCAGAGAGAATGCTTCCAATTCAGTAGGCTTTGAATTATCTTTTTTTTTTTTAACCTTAGATTTTGAATTAAGAATAATTGTTGGAGAACACCAAATTATTTGAATGACTCGCTCTGTCTAGAAACTGGTGTTGAGTTAATGAGGTTGTATTGCTAATGATATGTGTATCTGGGCTAGAAAAAGGAGCATGTATCCTATGTAAAACATAGCTTTGTTATATAGAATAGCATGATTATATATTCCTCTAGGTATTTTTACCATTTAGTTTTTCTTTTCTTTTTACCATTCAGTTTTAAATGCCTATACTCAGTGTGTTTATGTGTGTGCATTCTCAGTCATGTCTTACTCTTCCCAACCCTATGGACTGTAGCCTGCCAGGCTCCTCTGTCCATGGGATTTTCCAAGAAAGAATACTGGAGTGGATTTCCATTTCCTCCTCCAAGTGTTTATACCACCAAATAAAATTACTAGCAGCCTTGCAAGTAAGTGGCTATTCACCTAGTTATCTCATAACTTCGCCAATTATGATGAATAATGATTTATATCAGGCAGGTAACCCAAAAGTTGTTTGTTTAAGTGTCTGTGTATTTCTCAGTATGGAGAAGTTGATATAAATGGGTAGATTAGAAAAACCCTAAACATATGTGTAACTTTTTTCTTTTCTGTTTTACTTCTTTATTTTGGTCTAGGTTTGTTTTGAATTGTTTTATTTCTCAGAGCTAACTGCTATCTAGTGTAAGTACAGGAAAATTTTCCCTGGGGGCTGCATCCAAAATAGCTCTGTCATTGTCAGAGTGCTGTGTTCATGACATGGCAAGCTAAGTTTCTTAATGTCAGGCTCATGTGTTTGTATTTTCAGGGGTTGAGGCCCAGTACAATCTTTCAGCTCATGCTTGACTAGTGAACTGTAGCTTGCTTTTATATATATTTGTGTTTGAAATCCTGACTTGCCGGAAATCGTGGTGATAATATTAATAACTTGTACTTATTATATAATAACTTAGCAAGTGTTAGGCATTATGTTAAGTGCTTTCCAATACATAGTCTCAGTTATTCCTCACAACAGTCCTGAGTTGTATGCTATTGTTGAATAACTGACAAAGGAATTAAAGTCTAGAAAAAAAATAAGTAACTTAAGCCTTGCCAGGCAATAAGGAGTTTGGGAATATTACTTTGATAGTGACTAGAAGTGTTTATAATTATAATCATAGTTTATAAAAAAATGCTTCAGCTACTTAAGGAATAACAAACTCTCAGGGTCAGTTCATCATGGGACTCATGTAAAAATTAGCACTGCTTCCTGATTCTCTTCTTTTTGATTTTCTGGCTCCTTGCTTAGCTTCCAAGCTTACAGTGCCTTTTCTGGATCTGCATGTTTAGGGCGTGCATGGACAAGAGTAAGGAGTTGAGGACAACTGAATTATTATTCTCCCTCACCTTACAGGTTGGATACCACTAGTGGTCTGTATGTTACCAGGAGTGGCTGATTGTGTCCCTTTCAAATCTTGGTTGATAGTTTCTAAACTAAGCCAATAACTGAGAATGGTGATCTGGAACTGTTTGGACTTCATCCAGTCATTTGTTCTACAAATAATTATTAAGCATATGTTATGGGTGAGCTGCTGTTTTGGGGGTTTGTTGCCGTTCAGTCGCTAAGTTGTGTCTGACTCTTTGAGACCCCATGGACTGCAGCATGCCAGGCTCCTCTGTCCTCCGCTGTCTTCCAGGGTTTGCTCAAATTCATGTCCGTTGAGTTGGTGATGTTGTGTAACCATCTCATCCTCTGGCGCCCCCTTCTCCTTTTGCCTTCAGTCTTTCCCAGCATCAGGATCTTTTCTAATAAGTTGGCTTTTTGTACCTGGTGGTCAAAGTATTGTAGCTTCAGCTTCAGCATAAGTCCTTCCAATGAATATTTAGGGTTTATTTCCTTTAGAGCTGACTGTGATTAGATCGTGAACTCATTACTGCAAAATCCAGACTTAAAGTCAAGAAAGTAGGGAAAACTGCTAGGCCATTCAGGTATCACCCAAATCAAATCACTTATCACTATACAGTAGAAGTGATGAATAGGTTCAAAGGATTAGATTTGGCAGACAGAGTGTCTGAAGAACTATGGACGGAGGTTCATAACATTGCACAGGGGGCAGTGACCAAAACCATCTCAGAGAAAAACAAATACAAGAAAGCAAAGTGGTTGTCTGAGGAGGCTTTACAAATAACTGAGGAAAGAAGAGAAGTGAAAGGCAAGGGAGAAAGGAGAAGATACACAGCTGGAAGCAGAATTCCAGAGAATAGCAAGGAGAGATAAGAAGGCCTTCTTAATTGAGTTTTAGGGATGTGAGAGCCAGTAAAACATAGTTCTGGCTCTTAGGGAGTTGAGAATTCAGAAAAATAAATGAACAGTTAAAATAAAGCATGGTTGAGATTCTGGTAGACATACACTCAGGGTGAGAGGGCAACATTTGAAGGGGTTCCCAGTCTGAGCTTGATAGGTGGATATGGGAGAAGAGTAGGGTATCTAGACAGATACCTAAAGAATGAGGGGCTAACTTTACAATCACAGAAGAGTATGTCCTCTGTGTGTGTTTGTGTGTGTGTGTGTGTGTGTGTGTGTGTGTGTGCGCGCGCGTTCATGCACATGCCTGTGAAGGGGCAGGGACTATCTGGAATTTGCTCTGGGTAGAGAGGAAAGCATGCTAACACCCTGGAGGGGAGAGACCATAGTCCATTTCATGGACTTCTATCTGGTTTCACTTTGAGGGGAGGTGTGGAGACCTGGGTAAGAGATGAGGCTGGAAAAGAATAAGCAGTAACCAGGTGAAGGGTCATGAGTGACATACTAAGGAGTTTGGATCTATCTTGAGGGCACTGGTAATCTGTGGAAGGATTTAACCTCGGGGTTGATGTGATAAGCTTGAGACTGACATCTCTCCCTGATTTTGCCACTGCTTTCCCATGCACTATTGACAATATCATGATCCAGAAGGATAAGTGCCAAAGAACTTGTGACTCTGTGGGTGTATTAGAGTTTCTCAGACACAGAACCAATAGGAGGTATATCTATATATCTTTCTATATATTGCCAATAGAATAAGTTACCTAGGGATTTTCATACAGACAAACATCTGACTTGAAGACTCAAAAATTTCCAGTGGGAACCTCAGGAGAAATATAAATTTGATTGTAATGTTTATGTTACTTAAGGATTGAGTTCTGTTCCTATGAAAACTCAAATAACCATGGATTTAACATCATAGAGTGTGGTGCCAAGTGCTCTGGGGTGCCACAGAAGACTCGGAGAGAGCTATGAAATATTTTAAATTTTGAAGGAAACATCGGATATGTGACATCCCTGCAGGCAAACTGCTAGTTTGAGGAGGTTCACAGTTTCAATATTAGATTACGGTGTGTTCTTTTTGATGATATTGTAACTTTGAGAAACTACATAATTGGTAATTGTGACTAAGAAAAGCAAGTAGTTTGTATATCCATGTTCAGAGCAACATTTTTCACAATAGCCAAAGGTAGAAGTAACCCAGGTGTCCATCATTGTAAATGAATGGGTAAACAAAATGTGTCATATCTATCAGTTCAGTTTAATCTCTCAGTCATGTCTGACTCTTTGCGACCCTATGGACTGCAGCATATATAGTCATATTATACAATGGAATATTTTTCAGTCTTCAAATGGAAGGAAATATGACATATGCTATAGTATGGATAAACCTTGACATTATGCTAAAGAAATATGCCTGACAGAGAAGGACAAATATTGTATGATTCTTCTTATATGAGGTTCCTACAATAATTAAATTCATAGAGACAGAAAGTAGTGGTTACTGTGAATTAGGGAAGGAGAGAATGAGGAGTTATTAATTAATGGGTACAGGGTTTCAGTTTGGAAAGTTGAAAAAGTTCTGGAGATGGGTGTTGGTGATGCTTGTACAACAGTGTGAATATAGTTAAAGCCACTAAACTGTACACTTAAAAATGGTTAAAATGGGACATTTTATGTTACATATATTTTACCACAATAACAAAAGCAAGTGCTAAATGAAAATCAGTGTGGAATAAGAGGTGAAGGTGGTGATGTCCAATCTGATTCCAAGATTTGAGAAGTATAAAAGGCATGATTGAAATGTCCATCCCATTAATAATTGTGGTTATTTAAAAATGAAATAAAAATGATTTAAAAAATTTGTTATTTTTTCAAACAGATAATAACTTATTAGTACATAAATACTATTAAGTTATTGACACCTAACTACTTAATAAACAGAACTGTTAGATGTTCCTTTTGGCCTAGGGGCACCATGAAAAATTTACTGAGACACTAAGAATTCCATGCACTGGGAGCATTT